AGCCTGGGACCTGCTTTGAGTTCTGTATCTCTTTACCCCTCCCCTGCTTGTGCTCTGCCTTTCTCCCTCTCTCAAAATAATAAACATTTAAAATTTTTTAAATTAAAAAAATAAAATAAAGACATTAACTGCTTTAATCTTTTTGCAACAATCTTTTGGGGTGACTATTTCTATTATTCCCATTTCAGAGCAGAGAAAACAGAGGCTTAGAAATTAAGATGACTCCAGTGGAAAACGGCAGAGCTGGTAAAGAAAACCAGGTCCGTTTGACTCAAAAGCCCATTTGCTTAATCATTTGGCTATGCCATATTATACAGCAGCTCCTGATGTATGATATGAAGCTGGTAATAGGCCTCCAATAATTAGAATGACTTCTGAGCTTTGCATTAAAGAACATGAGACTACTGAAGAGCAGTTCAAGATCCAATTGACTGACATTGGTGTTAGTGGTCTCTGCTGTAGGAAATAATAATTTATCATTTGACTCTTAACAGTATTATTTAAATCGTAGCAATTATATTCATTTTCTTCTATATTTTTCTAAAACGTTTTTAATAAAAATATAAATCAGGTTTCAGCCACGTTTTGTTTTGTTTTCTTCTTTACAAATAGTGGATTGTGTTTCCATTGTTCACCAGTAAGGAAATAGTTAAACCTTGAGCATATACCCTGGTGGATATCTCCCTCAACCATCTAAAGAAAAGAAAAAAGGTCACAGTCAGTTACTCCCGTTAGATCAGTGCGCTGGAACATCTGTAGGCACACACACATCCTCTACTGGGAGTCGCCTTCTTGCCACGGTCAGAGTGGGCAGTCAGTGAATCTTCCCCAAGGGCTGACATATAATACCTGGTTTAGCAGCAAAGATCAGAGAGGGGTGAGCAGCCTCTCTGGCCTTCAGGTAGGTCCGATATCTTCATTTCTACCAAAGCTGAAAGACAGGCACCTACGTCTGTCAACTTGAAGGGAAAGATGATGCTCCACTTTAGCAGCGGGTAAGTTACAGATGGATTGGGTGTCCAGATGGGGAAGGGATGCTGTAAAATTAGGAAACTGTGGGGCTTTCTGCTGTCAGGCTGCTGCAAGGATTTAATTCCTGTGGCATCAGAGCCCATGTGTTCATCTGAGTACATAAGTGCTTATCTGGCATAAGTGTCAGAAAAAAAAAAGACCTAATTGTGGCTTCAGTGGCAGCAAAAAAAAAAAAAGCAAATTCATGTATGCCTCAGACCTGATTAGCTGTGCAAGATAGTGTTAATTCATGCCCGCAATGACCTCCGTTACATGAGCTTCCCTACACTCTTGGAGCAATCAGGAAAACACGGGCAGCACTGATCAGTAGGATTCAATGCCTCCCAGTACAGTCCCTTTCTCTGGAAGGAAAAAAAAAGAGTCAGTTCAGACACAGGAAACTACAAACCCAGACCTCACACCATTAGTCCTCTTTTGAGTCTCACCCGTGCCCTAGCTTCACAGTGAATAAATGAAAACCTCCCTGCTGAGCAATGTTAGCATGGGGTTGGGGGAAATTGTATAAATTTATTGGTCCTCTATTTCTGTCTGTTAAAAAGAATCTTTAATGTGTGGACTTTGAAACTTCTTTCAGTTGAAGAACAGTATCCCCTTTTTCAAAACCTGCCATTTTTTTCATCTAGCTTATTTAAAGAAAGCAGATTATTTTAGTTCTACTATCACCTTTTAAAAACTCTTAAAAAAACAAAATGTGACTCATATAGTCATGTTAAAGCTATGGAAGAGGGACAACAGTGCACTCCAGTGAAGATATATTTAAGTTAATAAAGCAAATTTCAAAAACTAAAAAAAATATGGCAAATTAACGTGAAAACCCTGTCAATGTTCCTGTTTATTCTTTAAATATGTATGTTATCTGGTCATGGCTTTAAATGGGTAATCTAAAAATTATATAGACAGATACTTGAACTGCGTTACAAGAGGAGGTAATTCACCATAACAGTAATAAACCTCCCTGTTCTTAGGGGCCTGAAATTGAGGTGTACCAAGAACAGGGCATCAAAGGGAGAACGGGTCAGAAGTCATTAAGGACCCAAATTAAGCTGTAAGAAATGGGTATTCCCTGTGTCTTGCCCAAGAAAATGTGTCTGTTTCATCTACAGTAATCATGTTTTCACTTATGAGAAGCCAAATTCCCTGTGACAACCTTTAAATGAAGCCAACGGGCCACAATGAGAACTTATTTTTCTAAAAAAAGGTTGCTGTTTAAAAGTCAGTGTTCTTGGTATATGTTCACCCCTTGGGATCTGGACTCCATGACCCCTGTATAGCTTGCTTTCTATCCCAGTAACGGTCTTCAGAGATATTTAAAACAAACAGGCTTTGGCTTCAGTGCTTCAATGCTCCCCCCACCCCCAGAAGTGGACAGCTGTCTGACAAGCACGTATCATGCTGAGTGTAGTCACTTACGGGTTTCATTTACTGAACTGAGGATCAACAATATTTCCTTTTTTTTTTTTTAATTTTTTATGTTTTTTTTTTATTTATTTCTGAGAGAGAGAGAGAGAGACAGCATGAGCAGAGGAGGGTCAGAGAGAGAGGGTGATACAGAATCTGAAGCAGGCTCCAAGCTCTGAGCTAGCTGTCAGCACAGAGCCCGATGCAGGGCTCGAACCCACAAACTTTGAGATCATGCACCGAGCCGAAGTTGGACGCCTAACCAACTGAGACACTCAGGTGCCCCAACAATATTTCCTCTTAATTCCTATGGAGAACATGTTCTTAGTTGCACAGAGGCCTTCTCTCATGCATACTTGGATGGGCCACAAATAAAGACGACACCCATGTTATTTCATAAGCAGGCCAAGTTGCTGAACCTTCAAACTATCATGAAGAAGAGGCGGGCTTGCTTCCATGACTTTAGTAATAACCCTTCTCATTCACCACGTCCTCACTTGGTTTAATAATCTGCAAGATGTGATTCTTAAAATATCACACCTTGAGGACTCTCTCAAGTAAACTAAAACTAAGTAGAAGAGAACATTTAGCGCTTAATTACATCTGATCTATAGAAGTGTTTGAAGGCAAAAAGCCTAACCAAAATCTCATTAGACTGACCAAGGAATCTTTGCAGGCAAAATTAAAACTATGGTATCAACTAACATTTATTAAATGCTTATTATGTGCCAGCCACTGTGCTATGTGATTTACATGTGTTATCCCATTTATCCTTCAAAACAACCCAATGAATCTGTACTAATACTATTCCCATTTTACAGAAAAGAAAGAACAGAGAAAAACTAACTTGACCAAGATAGTTACATAGCAACTAAATTTCAGGGCCCAGATCTGGACTCAGACTGCAAAGTCTGCTTTTTTTTTTTAATTTTTAACATTTATTTATTTTTGAGAGACAGAGAGACAGAGTGTGAGCAGAGGAGGAGCAGAGAGAGAGGAAGACAGAATCCAAAGCAGGCTCCAGGCTTTGAGCTGTCAGCACAGGGGCCCACACAGGGCTCGAACCCACTAACCGTGAGATCATGACCTGAGCTGAAGTCAGACGCTTAACTGGCTGAGCCACCCAGGCACCCCCAAAGTCTGCATTTTTAAGGAGATGTTAGAGAAAGGGTAACAGAAGAATCAATGAATTATTTCCTGTTATTTAAGTTGAAGTCACCACCAGCACCTCCATTGTAGATGCTTATCCAATTCTCATTAGTCTAAAAAATTCATCAATCTATACCCACTGACCAGATCCCAGATCCTCAATCCCTTCTAACCATTCCCAACATTACTGAGTTTCATCCACCATGACTGGCAGGTAATTGTGTTCTAACGACCCTATTTTAAATAAGTTCAAGCATAATTATAACTATCACAGTTTGCAAAGCCTTATTGTAAGTGCTTTACACGTAGTAATTTACTAATCATAACTTATATCAACTAAGGAGGAAGGTAAATTATCTCATTTTACAGATGATGAAACTGAGACAGAGTGATGTTAAATTACTTGCCCAAGTTCATATAGTTGGTATGTGACAGAGACAGGATTTGATTACAGCCAGCAGCCTTCAGAGTCCATACTCTGAGAGCCATATTCAGAGTCACTGTTTCATACTGTTCTTGAAGCATAATAATAATTTACTCTGAACGGTCAGAAATCTGTACCCTTTTGTCTCCTTTAGCCTTTCGTTCCTAGGACCTTATTCTGCAAACAGAATATATTTCTTATTAAGGCTCCTGGCATCTCCCTAAGGTAAGTGATAATGATAATAAAGTCAAAATGTATCCATTTGACTTCGTCTAATAAATACCTTTTTAAAAATATTATAATACTAATATTAAATCCTGAATAATTCTGACACCTCTTTGCTTAGTACCTGCTTACTACAGCGTTACTAAAGAATTATGTCAAATGTCTTGAGCAGGAAAGAGCGATCTGAAATAACAGTCACTAACTGTAATTTCCTAGAGGGAGGGCGTAGAGAGAACGGAGGGAGAGGGGTATTTGGGAACGTTCTCTGCTTCCTTGAAAGAACCCTAAAAGCAAGACTGCAAGAGTGATTGAGGAAAAACAAGGGGCTTTTTTGACAAGGCCCTCACTAAAATCTAATTACAGTGTTTCCACTAGGAAATCGTTATCAGGTAATTTCTCCCCCGCGCTCCAGGTATTGAAAGACTGGTCTTTGGCTTCCGTAAAACAGTCACAGCTTTGGTGACCTCGGTGTCCCTTTCACCCCCCGACTCGGACCCAGCAACCTAAGGACGTTCAGGGGTGCAAGTGAGCCTAGTCCCCGAAAGCATCCAGGCGGGAGTCGGCAAGGACGCCTCGGCCGGGCCGTCCCTCCAGGCTGCGGTTTCCAGGCAACCCCGCTAGGACCAGAAGCAGCTGTGCTTCCTACGGGGTCACCTGTTTAAGAGGCCCCGGAGACGCACCGGCGACACCGGGCAGCAGTCGGCCTGACGCCCCTCATAGTGCTGCAGCTTTCCCGTAACCCGGATGTTGGGTCTGCGCTAGCCACGCTCACCTCCCATTCCCTAGCTTTCCGCCTTGGCTCCCTTCTAGTCACTTCGCACTTTGGGCGTCTTTATTCAGAGAGGCGTCCCCGGAGTCGCTTCTCCTGGAGCAATAAAAACTGTCGTGGCCACACATCCCATAGAGAACGGATTGCTGGGAAATGTAGTTCTTTAGGCCGACAAGCGGTGAATCGGCCAGGGAGGAAAAAGGACTACAATTCCCAGAAATCTAAGGGAGGGTGGTCCAAGTAGAAAACATGTCCGGACTGCTTGGATCCTATTAGGAAGGAAGAAGGTTCTGTGTCTCTTTGCTTACCTAGCTGCCTGGATTTTGCTCATTCAGTCCCTCCACAGGCTTGTGGAAGAACTTTTTTTAAACAAGCTTTTTACATGTGAGGTGATCCAAACATAGTGATTTATATGAAGACATATGGTAATTTTTTGTGTGTAATTCTTTCAGATAAAAGATCCACCCACGATCAGAAAATATGTCACTTCAGATGATAACAGTCAGTAATAACATAGCCTTAATACAACCAGGCTTCTCACTGATGAATTTTGATGGGCAAGTTTTCTTCTTTGGCCAAAAAGGCTGGCCCAAGAGATCGTGTCCCACCGGAGTTTTCCACTTTGATGTAAAGCATAACCATCTCAAACTGAAGCCTGCAGTTTTCTCTAAGGATTCCTGCTACCTTCCTCCTCTTCGTTACCCAGCCACTTGCATCTTCAGAGGCAGCTTAGAGTCTGAAAAGCATCAATACATCATTCATGGAGGGAAAACACCAAACAATGAGCTTTCAGATAAGATTTATATCATGTCTGTTGTTGGCAAGAACAACAAAAAAGTTACTTTTCGCTGCACGGAGAAAGATTTGGTAGGAGATGTTCCCGAAGCCAGATATGGTCATTCCATTGATGTGGTGTACAGTCGAGGTAAAAGTATGGGTGTTCTCTTTGGAGGACGGTCATACATTCCTTCTACCCAAAGAACCACAGAAAAATGGAATAGTGTAGCTGACTGTCTGCCCCATGTTTTCTTGGTGGATTTTGAATTTGGGTGCTCTACATCATACATTCTTCCAGAACTTCAGGATGGGTTATCTTTTCATGTATCCATTGCCAGAAATGACACCATTTATATTTTAGGAGGACATTCACTTGCCAATAACATCCGCCCTGCCAACCTATACAGCATTAAGGTTGATCTTCCACTGGGTAGCCCAGCTGTGAATTGCACAGTCTTGCCAGGAGGAATCTCTGTCTCCAGTGCAATCCTGACTCAAACAAACAGTGATGAATTTGTAATTGTTGGTGGCTATCAGCTTGAAAATCAAAAGAGAATGGTCTGCAACATTGTCTCTTTTGTGGACAACAAGATAGAAATACATGAGATGGAGACCCCAGATTGGACCCCAGATATTAAGCACAGCAAGATCTGGTTTGGGAGCAACATGGGAAATGGAAATGTTTTCCTTGGCATACCAGGAGACAATAAACAGGCTGCTTCAGAAGCATTCTACTTTTATATGCTGAAATGTGCTGAAGATGACGTGAATGAAGATCAGAAAACACTCACAAATAGTCAGACATCGACAGAAGACCCAGGGGACTCCACTCCCTTTGAAGACTCAGAAGAATTTTGTTTCAGTGCAGAAGCAAATAGTTTTGATGGTGATGATGAATTTGACACCTATAACGAAGACGATGAAGAGGATGAGTCTGAGACAGGCTACTGGATTACGTGCTGTGCTACTTGTGATGTGGATATCAACACTTGGGTACCATTTTACTCAACTGAGCTCAACAAACCTGCCATGATCTACTGCTCTCATGGAGATGGACACTGGGTCCATGCCCAGTGCATGGATCTGGCAGAACGCACACTCATCCATCTGTCAGAAGGAAGCAACAAATATTACTGCAATGAGCATGTGAAGATAGCAAGAGCACTACAAACCCCTAAAAGAGTCCTACCCTTAAAAAAGCCTCCACTGAAATCCCTCCACAAAAAAGGTTCTGGGAAAATTTTTACTCCTGCCAAGAAATCTTTTCTAAGGAGGTTGTTTGATTAGTTTCACAAAAGCCTTTCAGGTTCAAGTGCATCAAATTTTTAAGCCCACTTTAAAGAAGCATCACAATGATGAAAATTATATCATTGAAAATGCCTGTGTTTTCTTTTAGTCTTATGAATTAAGTGCCAGGGAAAAGTGCTCATAATACAATACTAAATACTTGAAAAATTTTTAATCAAAGTTATGAGAATTTCTGACCTGAATTTTTTCACTCAAGGAATCTTCAATACAGAAGCAGTAATAGTAATCAAGATATGTTTATATCCTTTATATAATTTTTGGCAATAAATAAGCTATAGAGTAGTTAAGACAAAATTAAACTAGTAAAGAAACTAACATCCAAAGGAATTGAATGAATTATTTTGCACAATATAACAATTTGGTAGTTGGCCAAAAATTTAAACCAAGATCACCTGTATCCCATGCTAGTGGTCTTTATACATCTCTAACTCTAAACTGATCTCTTGATTATGCCTATGAACAGGAAAAGTTCCATATAGCTTATTTAAGCTGTAAGATAGACAATCCCTGTTGACAAGAAGGAAGAGAAAAGGACTCTACATCGTTTGTTGTATTTTATCAAGTAATCTGCATGAGCTTTCTTCAGAGGACTCCACATCAAGTTTGCTATATTTTATCAAGTTACCTACATGAATTTTCTTCAGAGGATGTCCCCCTCCCCGCATCTGGTGCACAGATGATGGACCAATATCAATTGCTTGAACCAATTCTTTGAGAGATTTAGTGAAAACTGAAGTCCACAGCTACTCAGCAGTCTACGAAAAGGGAATAAGTCGGTGCACGCTAGGAAAGAGCCACCAGTTAAATCTCATAAAGAACAGTAGTAGTATTTCCCCCAAATACAAGAAGTTTAAAGAATGTCCTAAAGTTAATAGGTAGAAGATTATAAATGGGGAAAAATAAATGTGTGTGTGTGTACGTGTCTAGTTGACATGTGGAGTTGGATGCCAATGAAAACTGTAAAATCAATGAGCTTGCTATGGTTCAATTAGATACTTTCTAGAAAGAGAGTTAAAAAGACTGTTTTGAGGCTTTAAGACATCAACTAATAAAAAAAAAAAAAGACATCAACTAATAATTAGATGACCTTAGAAATAAATGTTTTTCCTTTTGGAGTATTTTTCTGGAAAAGCATCTTACTTTAAGAGTTTAAGCCATAGCTTCTTACTCATCAGTATTCATTGAAAGTCTACAGTGTGTGAAGTTCTATTGCCAGATTTAGGGCACACATGACCATACAGGAGATAAATCCCTGGAACACAAGTTCATCTGCTACCAGTTCCATGTCTTAGATACTAAAACTAACTTGGATGAAGTAAATCATGTTCAGTTTGTTTCAGTAATGTTGCCTAATGAATATTCCTTTTGAACCATTTGCTATGCCATTGCTATGATTTTTTTGTTGTTTTTGTCATCTATGTAAAACTAATAAAACATTAAAATGTCTTCTGTTTATATTGATTTCTTCTGATTATTACTATGCATAGTTACCCAATTAGGGACAAAAATATTCCATTTAATTTTCTCAGGATCACTCTACTTTGATTTCTTTCTTTTTTTTTTTTCCCTGCTCACAGGAAGTGGCATAAGTTAGAACTGAAATATCCTTTACAGAGTTCAAAAGGTTTATTTCCTCAAGAGGCATTCCCTTAGCTTAACTTGTCTATAGTGACTTAGTAGCTGAAGAATTATTACCATATTTATTTTGTAGTCAATGAGATTAAGATATGATAACCTAAGTGATTCTGAATTCACTGGGTTTTCTATAGTTAAACTCAGAGTGCCACAAGCATAGCAACTTTTAGTGTGTGTGTATGTGTGTGTGTGTGTGAGTGTGTGTGTGTTATGATTATGTGTTACAAAGGTAAGTACTTTGGTTTCACGACCATATATTTGAGTAGAAATAGGTCTTTTTAAGTCCTAAGTAAATTTGTCAGCTGACATTAAAGATAATGAGGTTTCTGTTCTGATAAGCACACGCAAACATTCAAATGGGCCACATTAGAAGAGTATTCATTTATTCCAATGATATACTGCCTTTGCTTAAAATAGTTCTAGAATTCACATTTCAATCACCTTCAGGTCCTATGGTTCATTCCTTTGAAGATACTTAACAACTGTCTCTCTTCCACCATTAGAGATGGAGTTGGTTTCTGGAAACAGACAAATGTCATCCACAGCCTTAGTAGGATATAACTCTCACTTTAAGCTAAAATAAAAATAAAAAGTTTGAGTACAAATGGGCTTTCTGATGTGGCTCACAAATAGGTTCTAAAGATAAGTCTGGAAACTGCTGACACAGAATAATTTCAATAAATAAGTATTTGGCTTTCCAAGGTGACCATGTTAAGGGGCTTAATGTGTTAGGAGGAAGGGTGCATAAGGAAAAGGAATAGTTAGTCTGAAGGCCCGGGGGTGAGATGAAGCTTATCACGTTTGAGGAACTGAAATGTCAGCCTGGTTAAAACATAGTAAACAAAGGGAGTATGGAGTGACGTGACCCTAAAGCAGGGGCTGGCTCCCTGAGGTTTTCATCAGTAAAATAAAGTCACGTACAGTTTCATTCATACCATTTGCCCTGTCCCCTCCCCATCCTGTTTCACCACTCCTTTTGCATTTTGTGTTCAATCTCCAAAAATGCTAAACTGATAATATTTCCAGTGAAAACTAGCTTTCTTAGTACTCAGAGCTTTTCAGTAACCGATCCCTTCCACTGGGCATACCTTCCCTCTGGTGCTTTATAACACCTGCTAACATCCACGGCTATCTGGCCAATTCCTATCCACTCTACATCTCAGTTCAGATACGTGCTCCCTCAGAAAGACTGCTCTGAACCCCATCAGCCCCTTGATGGCCATAGCACTTACAAATCTATACTTATATTCTCAGAAGTACAATAAACAAAACCATCTGTTTTTTTCTATAACTCACATTGTATTATGCATCCTTTTTTACGTGTGTTGGAAATTTAATTTCTATACATTTAGGGTCTTCCCTCTTTACCTAACTTTCTACCCAAGTTCCAGGGAGAGACATAATACTGGGTTTCCAGAAGTGGGAGTGAGCAGAGGTGAAGCATTTGGTTCTTAAGGGTCGTCATCCCTTCTCATTGGCTTCTGCTACAATATCCACACTCCCACAGGGCCTGAAGTTATCAGCTTAATGATGATTCCTGAGTCATATCCCAGCCTTAAGTACCAAACATCATTAGATCTAGCTCTCTCTCACCTGCTTCATGGGTCCATGATGGGCTCACATGATAAGGAGGAGATCATTCTGCCTTTTGTCTCTCAGCATGGCCACGGGTCTCTCTGTGAGCCCACCTAGGATTTGTCTATTTCTGTACCACTCTTGGGCATTTCATGGTAAACTTAGATGGAAGAGGAAGTCATTCTAACCCACAGTGACAAGAATTCCAAATGATTTATATGCCACCAAATTCCAGTCTAGCGTAGAATATTGCCTTTTGACTTGGAATTTACCATAAATGATATCACATTTTCCCAAACCTGGTTCTGTCAAGAAACATCTAATGCAGCATATTTATTACTAAGAGAACTAAAACATCATTCTGTCTCTAGATATCAGTCCAGTAAATGTATATTCATTTAAATTATAATTTTTAGAATAGGAAGGAAAAGTTATCAATAATGCCCCCTATAAAAGGCTGACAATGAAGCACCTGAGTGGCTCAGTCAGTTAAGTGTCCGGCTTCAGCTCAGCTCATGATCTCACAGTCCATGGGTTCAAGCCCTGCATCGGGCTCTGTGCTGACAGCTTAGAGCCTAGAGCCTACTTTGGATTCTGTGTCTCTATCTCTCTGCCCCTACCCCGCCTGTGCTCTCTTTCTCTCAAAAATAAAAAAATTATAATAAACATCAAATAATAATAATTTAAAAAAATAAAAGGCTGATGAGTAGGGGGCCCCTTGGTAGCTCAGTAGGTTGAGCATCTGACTTGAGCTCAAGTCATGATCTCAGGGATCATGAGTTTGAGCCCCACATGAGGCTGGTGCTGCCAGCAGAGTTGGCTTCAGATCCTCTGTCCCCCTCTCTCATTGCCCCTCCCCCCTCTCAAAAATAAACAAACATTTTTTTTTAAAGGCTGGTGAGTATGTAGAGGATCTCTTGAAGATCCTTAAAGACCCCTTGAATCTCTGGCTTGATTCCCCTATGAGTAGGCCTCTTCAGGGAATGCACTAGGAAGCATTTATTGAAAATCTAAGGTCCTTGGCAGTCCCTGGGTGGTTCAGTTGGTTGAGTGTTTGACTCTTGATTTTGGCTCAGGTCATGATCCCAGCATTGTAGGATAGAGCCTCACATTGTGCTCCACGCTCAGCGTGCAACCAACTTGGGATTCTCTCTCTCTCTCTCTCTCTCTCTCTCTCCCCCTCCCCACCCAAATGCACTTTCTCTCTCAAATTAAGAAACAAAAAAGAAAATAAAATCCAAGGTCCACAATAAATATTATGGGACCTGAAAAAGAACAAAAGAAGAGCCCCAGAGCCCCATCTTTAGGGAAATTATTGTCCTACTGTAGAATGGGGCAAGGGGCAGGGCAGGAGAGTTACAGAAAGTGAAATCATATACTTGAAGCTGTTGGTGACAAATTTGAAATTGTGTAGTGCAAGGTATCCCCAATAACAGTTTTCTTTTTTTAACCTGGAATATGGTGGTAAAATTTAAAAATTGGACTAAATTATCTCTAAGTCTCCTTTGTTATATTGACCTTAGCTGAAGAGGTGCTGTGTCCAAGACAACTGCAAAATGTGGAAAAGACTGCTTGAAGTGCCATCCAAAATGTGTAGTGACAACTCAAAAGAAGAGGGATTTGGGTGTATATATGAAAGATGAACAAACCATCCATTTTGAACCATTAAAAAATATGAATGTGGCGTCATAGAAAGATATTTAGTCTTTGTCTTGGTTCTGGCATAGAGCTCCTAAAACTTGTCATTTCTTAAGTGACAAGGGTGCCAG